TTTTATTTAGTCGGTTTTTTTGCATGGACAAGCACTAGGTACTTCCGAATCTTGAGTCTAGTCATATCATACGAATGTTCGCGTTTTCTAAATTTTTGTTCGTTTAAGAAAATTGTTTTTTTTTCAATCAAGGAAATAGTACTTCTGATGCTTATTTCGCATTTTCAACTACGTGAAGGTCGGCCATTATTAGTTGGGTGTTTTGGTGTAGGCCTTTGGACGGATTTCAGTTTGGTCAGTTATTTTTCGTTAGTTTGTGCACATTTCATGAGTTAGGTAGCCTACTATATGCGGCGAACTGTAACTGCTGATCGTACTTCAAACAAGGTTTGAGTCTCCTCAAAAACATTAGTATTTCGAAGATGAGATTAGTGCATGTTCGCTCTTCCTACAGAGCGTCATACAAAGGACCGGCACACAACCAGCTGCGCATATTGCCGCGTGTGAAGCGTGTCCAACAGCCAATCCCATTCCTTGCCATACTGACGACCTGAAGTGGTATGCCACGTAGAACAGCACCTCGTACAAAACGTTTCACCTGTTCGATTAGCTCCGTTAGGCGCCATTACGTAGTTCACATGCACATTTTTTTCTGAATTTTGGCATTAAATTACTCGGACGCATTGTGCACCCGCGTCAAGTAAACATACAACTGGTGACATGCGGTGCACGGTCGCGAACTACTGGCACATCACTCCTTAACTTGTCATTAAGGGGCGGAAGTGCCTTCATCACAAGAACAGCGGCCATTGGTGGAATACGTTCAAAAACTGCTGAGCGTCTCAACTCCCCCCATTGTTTAATTTACGATGTCGTCTGTGGGGTTGTTTATGCAGGGGTTTGTTTAGGGGTATTCGGATGTGGATCCACGTGATGGTTATAGTAGGACCCTTTACTTTCTTGAACGTATTGACTACGCCTAGCGTCCACTAACTGGCACCTAAATCGCACATATGTATGTCTCCTATAAGCTAGGCGCTTCCTAGCGGTCGTCCGTCTTGACCGGCCGGGTATTCGGTATTGAGTGTCCCCAAACCCAGTAATTCTGCTTCCCTTCCAATCCCTACTCCCTCCCTCCATCCCTCTCCTTCCCATCCCCACCGAAATCCCCACATCCCCTTTCCCACTCCGAAGTCGTACAGAGAGGGCAAGTACCACCGATGGAAATCAGCAATCAGTTAGCTCAGAGAGGGAGAGGGAATCTCTGTTTTCCGCCTCTCTACCCTTCCCCATCCCCCCGCACTCTATTCACGAAACTACTACTCGAAACGTCAGACCTCCAATAAATTTCTTCCATTTTGATATGCCACCTGGGAATCGCATTTTCACTATAACTTCCAAAAACCCTACGGAGAGGGAGACATGCGATCGCGTGGGCCGCCCCGGATAACTCGAGTCGTTCTCTCACTAAAATTCGTCTCCAATAGAGGAGTCTGACAGCCGCCTAAGATGTCTAAGCAACCCTATTTAAGGACAGCTCTGCATACCTCCTCGCGGAGGAAGGGGTTATAAAAGGCGCCCTAAATCAATGGTAGGATCAAGTCCGCTACATGCTGACTGTAACTCGCAGACGCAAAACACGCGGTTGGAACAACAAAATAAGAAACAACAACTTCGCGTTTCCCCTTTCCCCACCTCTCCGTCCCAATCCACAGGCTGCTAGGGTGAGTCCGCTCACTCTGGCAGCCTGGAATATTCGTTCTCTAATAAACGATCAGCAGAATAACCGACCAGAACGTAGGACGGCGGTAGTCGCTCGGGAAATGACACGCAACAATGTAAACATTGCTGCACTCAATGAGACCCAGTCATCCGAACAATGTCAACTGAAAGAGGGGCTGCCAGCTACCCCCTCTTCTGAAGCGGCCGCCCAAAGGCAGAGCGATAAGACTCCGGCGTCGCCTTTGTCATTCGGAGCGACATCGTGGGACGACTGTTCTGTCTACCGCAGGGCATTAACGACCGACTGATGAACCTGGGCCTGCCTCTTCGTCAAATCCAACCTTGCCACGATCATCAGGCATACGTCCCACCAATGACCAGCACTCACGAGGCGAGAACCAATTTCTACGAAGACCTGCACAACTCCTGGTGTTTGTGCCGAAGACGGACAAGCTGGTTGTCTTGGCGACTTCAATATCCGCGTCAAGACAGACTGCGCTGCTTGGAGGGGAGGGCTGGGTCCTCACAGAATCGTCGGCAACAACGACAATAGCCTCCTTATCCTGCGGATCTCCGCTGAAGACCGCCTCCTGCTGACCAACACATTCCTCCGCCTGTCGATGCCGAAGAAGGCCACCTGGATGCACCGCTGCTTGTGATGCTGACAGTTGCTGGACTATATTCTGGTTAGGCGGCAAGATCGGCAGGACGTGAAGGTGACCAAGACGATCTGCGAAGTCGATGGCTGGACGGGTCACCGCCTCGTAATCTCCGAGATGAAGCTTCGTCTGCAACCCCTCAGGAGGTCACCACGGAAGCGACTCCAGCTGAATACTGCTTTGTTGTCTTTGCCTGATCGCCGTTTTTATTTCAGCAATCAATAGGCCCATCGGCTGGAAGGACTGCCAGCCACAGATGAAAACGCCTCCGTGGAGACTCGATGTGCTGACTACGACACGCCGTTCACACGACCGCCCTGGCTGTCCTCGACCGCGCACGTCGTCAGCACTAGAATTGCTTTGACGAAAATGACACCGCCATCAGTAATCTGCTGGCCGGGTAGAACAGTCTGCATAGAGCCCACCTTGACTGTCCAACCAGTGCAAACAAAACGACGTTCTTCTAGTGTCGTAGCCTAGCGCAGCAACGGTTGAGAAATGTGCAGGACATCTGGATGACTCGCAAGGCCGAGGAGATCCAGGGATACGTCGACCGCGATGAAACAAAGAATTTCTTCACTACAATCATAGCAATCTACGGCGCCCCCACCAAAGGAACTACACTGCTTCTCAGCTTCGACAGATCAACGCTTTTGACGGAAAAGTCGTAGATTAAGAAGCACAGAAGCGTCTTCAACCGCTCCTCTACAATCTCCGACGCCTCCATCCACCGGCTCCCATAAGTGGAAATTAACATCAACTTGCATCTGTCACACTCCCTCATAGAAATCATTCGCGCCATGCAACAACTCTTCAGATGGAGCACTCGATGGACATCGTCGGACGCGGCGCTCAGACTCTTTATGGGCACACGGTCGAAACATCCGTGGAAATACCAGTTACTTGATACAAACTCTTATCCGAAACTTGTATCCGCATGCTTCCGTCGAAGAGCTGAACTCAGGCATAATGATGGCTTGTTCATGCATCCCCGCCCTTTAAGTTTACCTCGGTTTTGATGGCAACTTCCCCTGGGACACTGGCATTGACTTTGATAGTGCAGCTTTGCTCCGACTCCATTTTCCGAATACTGGTTGAAAGTGGGGAGACAAGCTTCATTTACATCTGTTCTAGATCTCTCAGTAGGAGCTGTTACTTGCTGAAAAATGATCCTTTTTAAGTGTCCTATTTCCCCCTGATTGACACTTTTTAAGCCGCCAGATATCACTTAACATTCAGTAGCTTGGACTCAAGGAATATTTTGCAACGCATAACATTGCCCATCACTTATAAAAGGCAACTACAAATAAATTAATTATACTGAACTGTTATCCTGTTCACCGGTTAGAATCAAAGACAATAGGAGTCTATAGACTGTTTGATTTGTAATAATTGATAAGTGGACTCACGCGAGCTGACACTTTCTAACATAGGTGTCTTCACACTGCACAGTGCTTACCTTTTTAAGGCAGGGTTTTATCCAGTTAATCACCTTTAGATAAAATATCGACTTTTGATTTTGGGTAACACTGGAAATTTTCTGCGTGTTTTAGTGAATGGTAGTTGGTGCTTCTTCCTCTTCGATCTACGTACTTCTGCCACGGTGTGCACCTCGCCGTTGGAATCTGTGTGCATACCCAAAATTTTGGGCGCGCTGTATTTACGCTAGTTCATCACCCTCCGTCGGCACATGTTCGGCCCGAGAAGAACTATAAACACAAGGACACTCTCACGGCTGCTAGCGCTAGTTATGCTACCTCACTACTGAACTGACAGGTTCCTTCCAAAAAAGTGTCAGCTGCCCTTAGTGTCAGCTAACTAGGAACCGAAGTTTTTTTCAGCCCCCTAGATTGACTTAAAACGCGTGTGCATTTTTCTAACAACTATTCCCTGAACTTTTAGTTGGAGCAATGATCGGAGTTCACTTCATATAAGGAATATTTACAGATTGGAAGGTTCCCGTAGCATGGAGTCAATTTCAGGACACAAGTTATTTGAGTAGTCATAGTAGTAGTAGTAGTAGTAGTAGTAGTAGTAGTAGTAGTAGTAGTAGTAGTAGTAGTAGTAGCAGTAGTAGTAGTAGTAGTAGTAGTAGTAGTAGTAGTAGTAGTGGTAAAAATGCTAACGACAGAGCAGTTCTGTTATTGCCTCCATTCCCGTTATTGGCATTAATCGTAGTTGGGAAGTAGGGGTGCTTAGTTGGAGATAGCAAACCCTGTAGCTGTGTCATGTTGCATCAAACAAGTGGCGACTGCTCTTCAGGACCCTTAACTGGCACACAACTCCCATCTGTGGCTCTATGTAGCCAGGCTTTGTCTGTCAGCCACAGCCCGGTAACCACATCGACCGGCAAACCAAACCCAACTACGGTATCCAGTGTTGTCCGTGTCCCACACCCGGTAACTCTGTTTCCCTTCCCATCCTCCTTTCTCCCCACATATTCAAAAAATTCCTGCCGAGAGGGAGACACGCAATTCCGTAAGCGGCCCAAGTTAATTGAGGTTGCCTTTCCACTTAACAAAACCGTGACCTCTGATGGTGTTGGGCAGTCGTCTGGGATGTCTAAACAATCCTATCTAAGAATAGTACTACATGCACCATCGCAGACGACGGGGCCGAAAAGTGCCTCAAACAGTTGCTCGAAAATCTCGCAATCTGCAAGTATACTGTGGCTCGTAGATGAAAAACTCCGGTCGAAGTGTCAGTTCGACCTTTGACTCCAATGATGTCCACCGTGAATGCAGGGATGGTGACTTGCGCGGGAATTTGTCTGCCCACCGCCTGCATTTCAGCAATCGACTGACCCAACGCCTAGAAGACTTGCAGGCTCCGCATGTAAACGCCTCCTTGGAGACTCGATGTTGCCAACTGCGGGATGTCGTCCATTCGACTGCCATGTGTGTCCTTGGCTGCGTCCGTCGTCAACACCAGGACTGGTTCGACGAAAACGACGCAGCCATCAGAAATCCACTGGCTGAAAGGAACAGTCTGCATATAGCCTACCTCAGCCGCCCGACAGATTCAAACAAAGCGGCCTCTTACGAATGTCGTCGTCTTGCACAGCAACGCTTGCAACAAATTCAGGACGCCGGGATGGCTCGAACGGCTGAGGATATCCAAGGGTGTACCGACCGCAATGAAAAGAGGAACTACTTCGTTGCAATCAAGGCAATCTACGGTCCCCCAACCTAAGGTGCCTCACCACTTCTCAGCTCAACTGGAACAGCACGCCTCATGGAGAAATCGCAAATTCTGAAGCATCGGGTCGAGCACGTCAGAATCGTCCAGAACCGCCATCCATTATCTTCGACGCCGCCATCGACCGTCTCTCCCAAGTGGAAACGAGCAACGACCTAGACATTCCGCCTTCCATCTCACTATCCAAATGATCTGTGCACCAAATCTCCAGCGGAAGAGCGCCAGGATCCGACGCGATCCAGGTCGAATCGAAGTTGACAAGTACGGCAGTTACCCGCTGATGGGCAAACTTACAACGAAACTTCTGGAGGTGTGGCATCAGCGACAAGATCCCCAAGGCCTCAAGGACGCGACAGTCGTCCATCTCTACCATCGAAAATAGAAACGTCAACTCTGTGATAACCACAGAGGAATCTTGATGCTCAAAATTGCCTGGAAGACCTTCGTCTTGTCCATTTTAACCGCCTCAGCGGCCATCTAGAAGAGGGATTTCCGTCGGAAAACGATGTGGCTTCGAGGACACCACGGAACCACTAACATGATCTTCGCCGCCCGAAAAGTGAGAGGTAAGGGTCAGGAAATACATACGAACGTCTACATTGCTTTAATGAACCTGATAAAGGCCTTTTTACATGGCTCTGTCGCAACAGGTACTTGCCGGTAGGGAGGAAAAACGACGCTGTAAAGAAACCTTGAAGAACTCTTTCAAATACATTTAAATCAACCACGAGAACTGGGATGACCTCTCCCAGAATCTACCGGAATGGAGAGGAGATGTAAGGAGGGGGACGGCAATCTACGAAGCCAACCCGTCTGCGTCCGCCAAGGCCAAACGAGCCTCGCAAGTCTCAAGCGTCTCCAATTCACACCATCAACACCCGACCCCCTCCAAAACGTCCAAGCTGCCAACAAACAGTCTGCGCACGGCTCGGTCTCGTCCGACATTTCCGGACCTAGTATAAAGACAAACCAACAACTCCACCTGCTGATTCGAAATACTATCCCATTGTCCCTCCTGCACAAATTGTCACGGATTCTATTGCGGTGACTACCCTCTATATCGGTGATCGCACTCGTGGTGTCCCTCTGTCGTCGATCGCCGCAATCTCCATCATTCTTGCCGCTACAACGTCGACTACTTTATCTCCAAATCCCGACGCCCCATCTGTCACTACCCTCGCAACCAGCAATGTGAACGCGACTCCAACTTGTCATCATCGCGATCGTCGCTGCTGTACGGAGCGGAGACTTGGACAGTGTACACAAAGCAAGCACGCCGACTGAACCACTTCCACCTCAGTCGTCTTCGTCGCATCCTGCGGCTGAACTGGCAGGATCGAACCCCTGACACTGATTTACTGGAACGGACGGGAATCCTCAGCATCTACACCATGCTGAGACAAATGCAGCTGCGCTGGAGCGACCACCTGGTGCGCATGGATGACGAGCGACTACCCAAAGGACTTTTCTACGGAGATGTCGCGACGGGCTCTCGCAGCCAAGGAGGCCTCCCTGAAACGTCTGCAAATCAACCCGACCAACTGGGATGAACTCGCCCTCGATCGACTGACCTAGAGGAGGATAGTGAAAACCGGTGCTCCGATCTACGAAGCCAACCGCATCGCCGCCGCCAAATCGAAACGCGAAGCACGCAAATCACAGCTGCGCCCAATACGCAACGCCAATGCACAACCGCTACCAACGTGTCCTCGAAGTCAACGGACATTCCGGGCACGAATTGGACTTATTGGACACCTTCGCATCAACTGCACCTCTCGGACCGCAGCAACCATCGTCCCTCCGCCCGCCTCTTCCCCGTCCTCTCCGCCGCCATCTAACTCTGACGCCTCTTCCGAACCACCACTTCCATCCTCCTCCTCCTCCACTGCCCCAACCACGGCCGCTCAGGCGACAGTCACGCACATCAGCCACTCTGACACAACAACCGACACCACCCTCACTGCCTCCGACTCCAGCGATGAGGATCAGGACTACACCTGCCCTCAGTGCGACCGCACCTTCACCTCGCACAGCAGGCTGGTCGGTCACTTGCGAACCCATCGCACAGAGGCTGGTTAATCAGTGCCTGGAGCCCCAACCTATACCCACCGCACTCGCCTCCATTGCCCACACTGCTCTCGTACCTTCACGCATCTCATGGGTCTATTCGGCCACATGCGCATCCACGACGACCTGCGGTAGACAACCGCCGGTTACGCCACACCACAACACACTCCGCCCTGCCTCCTCCTCCACCATAACCACACATCAACACTCACCCACCGCAAGCACCCAACTGCCACCTCCCACGCAAATGTGAAGTGCGCATCTCGACTCGGTCTGCATGCGGCTGCGGCTGCACGGGTGACTTGAGTCCGAGACTATCCCGACACGTCAAGAGTCGTGGATAGGAAGGTTGCTAATTGACGCCCCCACTCGGTCCACTCAGTTCGTCCCGTTGTATGTGTGTTGTGTGGAGCGGTGGACTGGTGGGCTGAGGACGGGCTGAAACAGCACCTACCACGGCCCTCTCACGCAAGTGAGAGACACGCCGTTCAACCCTCCGTTGTGCGAAATCCTGGTGTGTGTGTGTGTGTGTGTGTGTTTGTCTATGGGGGGCCAGGTCGTTCTCGTGGCGCGCGCAGTCATGGTCAGTCGACCATGCCAGCCACCGCACCCATTCCTCACTCCAGTCTGCTGACCGGCTCGGACAGCGGCTGGGGTGTGGGAATGGGAAGGGAGAGTGAGGTCGACGACTCAGCGCACTTCCTCACTCTAAACAATTTGATGCGCTTGAGGCTATCACGGTGCGCTAAAAGCCGTGGCCTGGAAGGTTGCCAACTGACGGGGTAACTTGGACCTCCTCCGTGACTGATGGGGGTCTGAGAGCCAGGCTGCAATGGCTCCTTCTCAATGTGGCCTCTATGGCACTCCCGCCACAGTGTGGGATCCGAACCAGGCGTTGGCGGCACGCCTAGATGCGGCTTCGGCCGTGTCAGCCTCCAAATCTCTGTTGTGTTGGTTGAAATCCTGGTCATTTGTGTGTGGACCAGGGGATGCGGTGTGGAGCGCCAAAGTGAGGATCCCTCCGAGTCATCCACCTGCGGCCTGCCTCGTCTCCGGTCTTCTTGTCTCTGTCTTGACACCGAGCTCGGGCGAGAGAGGAGGGCAGAGTGTAGGTAGATGCCGCGCAAGTCTGCCGGCACTATAAACCCCTGCGCAAGTCTCCGTCCCTGCTCCCACCGCTGCTGCTGTAGGGCACAATGCGGATATCATCGAAATCGATGGTCGAACTATCGTGTGTGTGTTTGGGTTTGTGCGTGCGTGCGTGCGTAAACCTGGCGGAGTTTTGTGGGAACTACGTTGTGTACGAAGCATGTGTAGTCGGGGCCCCTAGCTCTGTAAGCCACTACGTACAATTCCTGCATCAGCCAACTGACTGGCTCGGGTAGTGGACCGATGTCTAGGAAAGGGAAGAGGGAGGGAGGTCGATTGTCTCAGCGTACTTTCCTCACCATAAACCATCTGACGCGCTTGAGACTATCACGGCGTACTATAAGTCGTGCTTTGTAAGGTTGTCAGTTGACGGGATAACTCGGTCCTCCTCTCAGGACGGAAAGTATACTGCGATGGCTGCTTCCTAATTTGGCCTCTATGTCATTCCCACTCGTTTGCAATCCTAGCCGCTTCCCTCGTTTTCTTGTTGGGTGAAATCCAGGGGATGTAGTGGCACGCCTAGACACGAGTTCATGCCGCGCCAAACACTTGCACCCAATCCAGCCTCCGGTCTTCTTGTCCGGGTCATAACAACGGGTTCAAGTGGGGGAGGAGGGGTGAATGCGGTAGGTGATAAGCAAATTAACCATAGGCATAAATTAATTTACACGAAAGTCACCCTCCCTGACCCACCATGCTGCGGGACAAACGGTGTACATCATCGGAACCGATGGTCGAACTTCCGTAAATTCTGCCTTGAGTTAGATATCATTCGCTTGTGTGAGTGCCGTAAATGGGCGGCGCTGTAACGTTACGGACAGCGGACTGAGTTCTAACTCTTTAGTCCTGACGAACAGCATGTAGAAGACCTGAGTACTCGCCAAGATTCGCTCTTCCTTCACACTCTGCATTGTTAGTGAACGCTTGCATGATCGCATGACTTAAAAGGCTCATGGGGTGTCTGAGTATCATCGGACAGTATGGGCAGTTTTGAGTGTGCATTACGGATGCTGGTGAAAGCTTCTGTGTACGATTCATGATGATATTGCGGTTCATCTGGAGGTACCCACTGAAGCTAATTAATGCACTAAATGTAAACTGGCAATCTAGGTATTCTAGTAGAGATTGGTCTGCGGCATACTGGTCCTGTGTGCTTGTCGTTTTATTCCGTTCTCCTGCCTCATTTTTCATGACGGTGCCAAAGTCCGGACTGAATTCGAAGAGTCCGCTTACAATTTCATCTTTCTTGACTGCTCAAGTATTTGAGTATGTCCACTACCGACACACGAGATTCACCAAGACTTATAACGGTCCCCTCACATTCCTCAGTTGGTGCTGATTAGTATGTAATAGTAATCTTCTCCGTGTTAACGGTGAGTCCGAATTCTAAGCAACTGGATGCAATGGGTTGCAAGTCTTGCACATCCGCTGTATTGGTGCTGTTCAACGCATAGGCATTCCTGCATAAAAGATCATGGGCACCGGCATTGGTTACTTTGGTCTCTGCCTGCCTAAGTCGAATGTTAAGCAGTTTTATCTTGCTTCGGTAGGAGACGCTGACTTTAGTCCGATGCCCACGGTAGATATCCATCAGCATGTCCGAGTGCATGAGATTAAACTGATTAAAAGGGGTATACCCGCCTCCGAGGCTGATCTACTCTCCGACACGCACATCATCAATTCATCACGCAGTTGTTTCACCGTTTGGATAACCTGATCTAAGCAATTGAATCCTGTTAAGACTTTCAATAGCCCATTACTTTTCACGGTGTCGCGGACCTTTGTAAGATCAAAAGAAGTGACAAAGAGGCTGGTCATCAGTTCGTGGTATTTTTATAGCAATTAACAGGCTGAAAAGACCATCTCTTATCTTGCACAATGTTTCTGGAATATTCATTACCTTGCTATCGGGAGTCCCTGCCCCATGTCTCTTGGTGCATTTGAGAATTACGCGAGCAAATTTTTTTTCCACAATACCGAAAAGAGATATTCCGCTGGGATTTTTATGTAAAGCGGATTCCCCTTTCACTTGTAGAGGTGGACGATGGTAAAATCCTGGAGGTCCCGTAGCATTAATCCTCCCGCCAGCATTGCCTGAATCAGTGGGACTAATCCGTTCAGGATCCTGTGACCACCGCGTTTGTAGGCATCTTCAAGAATTGGGTCGGCGTCGTGATCTTTTCCGTCCGACGTCTGTTGAACTACAGTCAGTACCTCCGGTAGATACGACGGATGATCAAGGTCATTATTTGTGCCAATTAGGCGTACTGCTGATGGACCCCCGCATACTGTAGATGGGCGGTGGAGGACATGCTTGAGGAGCCCGGTCTATGGCTTCGGTACTGGACATTCTTCAAGAGCATGATAGTGCCATTCGAGCTGAACGGCAGCGCCATTGTTTGGCCTTAGGACCGTTGACTGTCCTGATAGCCGCAAAATAGTTCTTCTCGCCGTAAACCAGTTATCCTTGGATGCCCTCGGCCTTGCAATTCGGCAAGTCATTTTGCACGTCCCTCAGTCTTTTCCGCAATGGGCTTTGTCATCGGACCATAACACCTCGATTTTCCTCTATCTCGTTGTTTTAATGGGCCTCTTGACGCCGATTTTCGAAGAAGTTACATGCTTCACGTGCTGCAAACAGCCTATATCATCCCTTGCTGGTTACTTTTCTCACTTCGCGACATTTATGAAATTTTATCTTAGAGGCAGCCCTACAGGAAATCATAGAAATTTGTTCGTCCAAAAGCAAAAGTAGGCGTACGAGTTGATGTGTAAGCGAATGCTTCTGCTATACATAAGGACAGTAGATTAGGTAAAATGTTTACCCTGGCAGTGAGCTCAATGAACAAAATATAGAAGGACGCTGTATTACCCGATTTTTGTAGATCATTCGATTCTTTTTTCACCTTTCGGAGCCCTAGTTTCAGTTCCAGGACTAATTTTCGGCGTTTAATCCGACTGACTAAATGTCCTGCTTGGAATCTTTGGTCCTGAAGCGTTTTGGAAGAATACACTTAACTTGTTATTTATAAGTCGCTGTCGCTGACGAGAACGCCTCTGTTGAGAAGCGATGGTGTAAACTGCGGGACGCAGTCCAGGCGACGTCACCGGCCATCCTCAGTCGCGCACGCCGCCAACACCAGAACTGGCTGGACGACAACGATGCCGTCGTCAGCAACCTGTTCGCCGAGAAAAACCGTCTGAACAAAGCCTACTTCGAACGCCCCACCGACAACAACAGAGCGGCTTTCTACCATAGTCGCCGCGACTCCGCGAGATGCGGGACGCTTGGACGGCTCGCAAGGCCGAGGCCCCATTTGTCTTCACTCTGGTCCCGCACGTCCACTCGCCGCATGGGCCTATTCGATCACCTGCGTATCAATGAGAGCGGAATTAACCACAGTCTCGACACACCCAGCACCTCTTGCACATCCACCATGACTAGATCAACCCACACCCCGTCGCCCAACGCCTATTCTATTAGCAGCTCAACCACCGACATCATCTCCGAAACCGACACCCCCGACCTCTCCTCTCCACGCTGCCCCCTCATCGGCCTGGTCGGTACACTTGCAACTCCTTCGCACAGAGACTGGCGGACCAGCGCCTGGAGCACCAACCTACATCTGACGCATCTGCTTCAACTGCCCTCACTGTACCCGCGCATTTAACGTCTACGACCACAGGCAGCCTGCAGACGGTGTGGTTCCCCATCATTTGCTTAGGGCACCTTTTCTAGCCCCTTTCCTCTAGGGGGTAAACAGTGCTATCCCTAACTACGGCTGCTTAGTTGTGTCAGGCGCTGCCGAACTCCACTATGGGTCACGTCTCTGTTTAGTGGAAGAACGACCCGATTTATCCTGGGACAGCCTACGACATCGCCGTAAGCTTGTTGCCTTCTGCAGTGTACCAGACGGAGCCTCGTATCGACGATGCCGATGCGAAGATCCATCCGGCCAGCGGATTCCACATTACCGTGTGCGCAGATGCACACACGGATACCGTCGCCTGGTTTAGCCCGCAGGTTGAGACGGTTACTGTTGTGTGGCCGCTAGGCAAAGCGTAGCTTCTGGAAGTCACATGTGAGAATTGGGTGTCAGCAGATGGACGCTAGGCGTAGCCTGCACCTACAAGCAAGTGAGCGACCTACTACGACCGTCACTTGAACCCACCGCTGGACACCCCTACACCCCGTTTGATTACATAATTGCATGCGGATTGCGGGCAGCTGTCTACTATTCAAAAAGAGGTAAACGTGAACGTCTACTCACTCATTGAAGGTAGCACGGACATAGGTAAGTCCGACGACTGATTATGTGGGGATGCGTGTGGCTGGTAAATGGGATGACCAGGTAAAAGAGGATGACGCTTTCCTTCGTTTCTGCCTCCCCCATTTATGGTGTCAAAAGTATCGCCTCAGAGTGTATTTCCCAGCAACTTTCAGCTAGAATAATACCCTAAAATGCAGGATTCCGGAAATCATAAAGTCTTGGTGAACGTAAACTAGCTTTGATTTGCCCTTTTAAGTGCATAAACAGACATTTTATGCCGGTCTCACTTCCTTACAACACAAAACGGCGGAAAGAAATTATAAAACAGGATTTGTTATAGATTATGTGCGAAAGAGTGAGCGTGAAGTAAAAATATACACATAATCGTGGTATTCCTATGCAGTCGCTAATCGTAAAACCTACGAAATAACACGTTTGCTGAGGCGTACATAACTCAGTTAGCTCAAACTATTTGGTGATTGATTATAATATTTACAATAATCGTTTACGAAATTTCGACCGGCGATTTTGACGGTGCCAACCGTGTGCCCCACGGCAAGGTGGAAGCAGGAACAGTGACTTGTGCGTGAGTTAGTTTGTAGTGATAGTAGACTTGCGCTGCATCTGCCGCGCCCCTCCTCCTTCCCCACCTGGACCCCCTGTCAAAAGAGAGTCAAGAAGACCGCGGGTGGGGTCACGCACAGGTGGCTGGCGCGGTGTGGACCCACACCTAGGCGGGCCACCACACACCCTGGTCGGCGCACAAACGATTAGGATATACACAACAAGAAAAGAGAGGTCGGTTCCTGTGGGAGGGACAGAGAGGCCGAATTTAGAAGGAGCAATTGCAGTCTGACTCTCAGTCTACCAGTTCACCACTCACAAACCCACGCTGTGTTGACTTTGAAGTCCGATTTGGATTGTGAGTTGGCAACGTTCCAAGTCACAGATGTTAGTGCACGTGTTGATCTCACGCGTGCCAGGTTGTTTATAGTGAATAAATTGCGTTGCGCTCTATGATAGTAAATACAAAAGGAATGGCACAGAATTCATTAATGGCAATTTTGTAGCTACCTTTACTGTGACCTCTGACAAAGATGTTTCTGAACAAAAGCAGTCATTGATGAGGCTTGCCGATATTAAATATATTTTGGCGTTAATTCGAACCACAGTATTTTATTCTGCCTTTAACTCGTCCATTTTATTTGTCCCTCTGTCTATGGAACCTCTGCAGTTTTATTCTTACGGGCGAAATGTTTCTTGTTGATGATCCAGTGGTAACTTGAGATCGTCGGAAGCTGTGTCGGAAAAACACTGAGTCTATCGTGTTGTATCGTTGATCAGTAGGTCAACAGGAGGATTTCTAACGTTTCGTACTATGTGAGCATGTCTTTTCTATTGAAGAAATATATCAACAAGTCGAGTGAAATGGAGTTAGTTCGTTTTTCCTGTTCATTGTTCCCAGAGCGCTACAGTGTTTTCGCATCCTTTTTCCTTTAAGAACTTAAATATAGAATTCACGAGGTCGTTCTCGAAGGATGGACATCGATCGGAATTCAGTTGATTCTGTGACCCCCAAAACATATCCAAATGTTGAATATGGCCCAAGCCTTTGTGTTAGTCGAGATATCCGATGATGGCAGCGCCCCGGCCGTCGCAGTAAAGAAATTCACCACAACAAGGATGCCCTGGCTTCCTGTAACAGAATCCGCAAATGAGCCAGTGATGTCAATTTCCCCTGCTTATTCGAGTAACCTGTCCAATGTTTGTAACAGGGCCTTCAGAGAGCCGTCATGAGATTTCAGGGGAAAACAAAACCTGCAGGAGCGACTTATGCCGTGAGCGTCCCCTTTCTGATCCGGTCAATAATGCCTTCACAGGAGGGTTCATTTTGCCTTGTGGATGTCCGTATTCCCTAACTTTTGGAATGCATAACATAGCTGCAGTTGTCTGAAAGAACAGCTAATATCCCATTCTGTTACACGTGAAGAACTAGTATGCTCGGTAATTCTCTTAACTAAATTAGAATTTTCAGAACTTAAGCAAGAGACATCCAACTGAAGATGCTTAAAGCAAACGCTGTTTACTCCATTGTCCCACACTTTCTTTCAGACGGACTAAAGAATTTGCGAATGCAACCTCAAGATTCACTTATAAGCTTCTAATCGGAGTTATAAGAAGCACACCTTTCCCTTTTATATTTTGGCAGTTAATATATATTTTCGATTTGTTGTTAAACAAGGATATCTGTTTATTGTCATAAATACGTCGTGCCCCTAACCAGCCTCGATAACCACTGTATTTGTGCCCTGTATTTTGTGTCCCACGTGTGCCCTCCAAACGGGCCACGTGTTAGATGCGCTGGACCCACATGGGGGCCACATCAGACTCTGGCAGGCGTTATCTTTGCGCAATAACAAATGCCAACATTTGCGGGGTGCGCTGGCGGACCCTGTTGTCGGCATTCGTCGCACAACTGGACCACTGCCTCTACCCCATTGTTTTGTGGTCAAAATCCTGGTTATTGTTGTGTGGACCAGGGGGTGTGGTGGAACGCCAAGGTGAGGATCCGTCCGAGCCATCCGCCTGCGGCCTCCCTCGTCTCCGGTCTTCTTGACTGTGTCTTGACACCGGGCCCAGGCGGGGGAGGAGGAGAGAGTGTAGGTAGATGCAGCGCAAGTCTACCGGCACTATAAACCCCTGCGCAAGTCACCGTCCCTGCTCCACAATGCAGTCTGTGGGGCACACGGTGGACATCGTCGAAATCGACGGTCGAACTGTCGTCGTGTCCCACGTTCATTTTTGAATTGTGCTGTACCGTGATTCCTATGTGCTACAGTAAACTTACTGTAGTATTCACTGTAGTGAACGTATTGCTATGAATTGAAAACTTTTCCAGTGTCTGTAAAAAAGCGATAAGTTTGTCTGTTAGATTAAATTGCCCCGACTCGCTCTTCCATTTGGTCAAGGAAGGGGATAACCACCGAGTTGTTCTAATTATTGGAGGTCTCAACACACTTGCACTAGACTATGGTAGTCTGGCGGTTGACGTTGTGCCTAGTTTTTCTTACTACATGCTATTGGACCTTACGCTTGACCTTTATATGGCACAGAATGTAAAGTCAGCAACCAGATTTAGGGAGGACCAGAAAGCTAACTGCCTGGAAAGTTTTCATGAAAGATTTTTCTAACATTAAGTAAGTATATTCCAATAGACCTCTCTGCGATAGTGACCATACGACGCTCCTATAGGATTCTTTACTCTTTTCTCAGCGCCAACAGGGGACCGAAAATTAACGACATATATGAAAGGCAGATTTCTACATGCTGGAGAATAGGTTAATGTCCGTAAATTGGGTCTGCCTGTTTATCAGGAATCCAGAGAAAAACTGGCAATAGTTGAAGAGGATTACAGTGGACCTGATTTGGTGCTGCTTTTTAGTGGAGGTGACAAAAACAACTAACCGTTCTGTCTGATTAATAAGTGGACTTAACAGACAGTTAAGGAAGAAAAATAGAAAGCGGAGAAAATTAAGGGAAACCGGTTTACAATAACACCTCGAGGAATCTGTCACCAATGACATGCTTTCAAACACGGATCTGGCCGGTAAGAAAAAACCATTAATCCTGAATTATCCAGCGATCCGAGCAGAAGCACAAGACTTTATTCCAGAATATCAACCGTTGGTCAAGAAGCAAGGACCCAGCCTAGTACTAAGGGATGACAATGACATAAAGTTCGTTAAAAACAGCAAAAAATCCAAACACTTGGCAAACATCTTGCTTACATATTCACTGCGGGGAGGAATTCCATATTTACACTGTAAACAGCCAAGTCGCAAACGCAGGGCCAGTGTTTGAGTCTATATCCTTACCAGCAGCTGCTGTGGACAGAGAACTTCAGAATCTCAAGGAGTTAAGTCATCGTGTCCGGGGGTGTACCGGCAAAGTTTTTAAAAGAATTGGCAATCGAACGTCCTAAACCACCAGCGAATATTTTCCACTCGTCATTGTACTTTCGGGGACTGCCGTCCGAATGGTTGGAAGCAAATATCCACCCAATATACAAGGGTGGGACCCGGAAATGTGTCAACAATTATCGTCCATCGGTATAAACTGAACCTGTTGCAGTGTGACAGAAACCATTCTTTAAAAAGCAATGATACAGTTTTTCATAGATAAACACTTGCTGCCATGGCTCCAGTGCGGTTTAAGACAGAAGCGTTCTTGCCTTTCCAATTTGTTGCTCTCGACTGAGCAGTAGGCTCGTATGCTGGACAATGATGGTAGGTTTGACGTCATCTACACCGGCTTTTTGGGTGACGTTCGACGGCGTTACACACAAACGTCTAATCTACAAACTATCAAAAATTGTAATAAGAGGCAATCTGCAAATATAA